GAGCTAATTAACACAACTTACAAGATAAAAAGACTAAATTTTCCAAATTAAAGTGATAATTTTAGTTGTTTCTTGCATATTCATTTATACATTTTCATCAGCGACTGGCCGATTACCCAAAGTTAACTTTTGTGATATACAGGTGACTCTCGATCTCTTGAAGTTCAAGGGACCGCAAGAAAAGTTCGAGAGATCAAAGAGTTTGAGAGATAGAAAGTAAATAAAATCCAGAATTTTCAGTTCCGATCATCAAAGTTCTACTTTTATAGATACCGTAAGTATATGTAAATAAAGTCAATGCTCGTTTTCTATCGTATTTTACAGGTAATATTTACTTGATATCAACAACAATGATCGTATTTCGACTAAATAAAACTAATTCCTAAAGTTTCAATACTTATTTGTTCTTATTTAATGATTACATGAAATCCGAATAGCAATTGTCGGTTTGACTATTCCGCGGCTTGATCGGGTCCTTCACCTGTTCTCCAGTGTTCACAAGATTTTTCTTAATCTGTATTTAGTCCTTCAGAATGGAATTTCTTGTGCAATATTTGCCATACTGGGATTATGTCGACTCCAATAAAAGTTCATAGCCTATGGGAACTTATTTATTTGACTATAAATTATTTTCTAAAAATCATTGTCTCGTTTTCAAGTCAAAATAAGTTGTGAATTTAAAAACAGTTTATAATTTACCAATAATAATCAATTAATAATATCAACACACGGACTACTCACAGGTGAAGTGTCATCTATGTAAACACCAAATTAACACCTCAATGCCAAGCCCCAGGCTTTCATTGTTTTCCAGGTAAGTTCAGGCTTCATCAATTTTACGCTTGATTGGCTTGTATACACATGCAATAAAAACTTCGGAAGATAGAGAGTAAAATTCAATGAAATATATGTCACGGGACCCATGTTTTGGTTCGAGAGATAGTAGGGCTGGGTATTGGCCAGAGATTTCGTATTGCGATATATTGCGATATTTTTAACTGTATTGCGATATGTATTGCAATATTTTCATGCAATAAAAATGGCATTTTCTTACTACATTTACTTTAATTTACATGCAGAATTTACATAACTGTGATAAGTAACCAACATGAAGAAAAAAAATCTTGTTGATTTCATATAAGTTCCCACAAAACAACTTCTGTCTTACTGTTTGTCTTAATAACAAACTTTCATAAGTCCTTTTTTATATTCAATCATTTTGATGACAAAATTCCTTAATCTAAGTATATTGCCAATATATCGATATTACAAAATCTTATTGTGATACGATATTTTTTGTCTTTGTATTGCAATATATTGAAATATTGATATTATTGCCCAGCCCTAAGAGATAGAGAACTTCGAGGGATAGAAGTTCGAGAGATCAGGAGTAAATTTGCTTAGTTATATAGAGGAGAAAAAAACGGGACCGGCATACATGCCAACTTTTGAAAATTCTCATGGGGGATTTAGCGCGTGACAACAATATTCAAAGCTTTAAATTCGCGACATTTTGTCGTGAAAATAAATGATTATGAAATACTTTTTTGTAAATTATGATATTGATAGCACTTATGAATACAAAACAATACAAATTAAAGTTTTATTTTTCAAAATTTAAATATCTTTGCTTAATAGTTGTAACTCTGTTCTATTAATTTACATTTTGTTTCTGGTATGTACCCTTAAAATCAAGTGTCACTTTATTCCCTATAAGTAAGTATATAGACAGTGCAGCATTAATTTTATCTCACACACGAAACAATTTGAAGAAATAGGCCTAATTAAATCATGAAATTTTTAACACAAGCCCCACCCCCACCCATTCCAAAGAAAAATTAAAATTGTAAAAGACTACATCATGAACATGATGAACTTTTGCAGTCTTGGCAATGCCATATGGGTCTCTGGTATTTCCTTGACATATGTATGTAACAAAGAAATACAATGTACAATATGAGTATGGTCTATGGGAGAAAGGGGGGGGGGGGGGTTCAGTGTGCTTAACATACATGAGAGTATTATTTAATCTATATTATTTTCAATATTTTTTTAAATTGACAAACTATACAATATTTTTAATATTAGCAGTTAAAATCAGCAGCTTTATATGCTTTGAAATTTTCTACTTTCGTTTTCAAAAAACGATCTTTTTGGATTCCATTTTTATTGTTTGATTATCATTTTATTGACTTTAATTTTTGTTTTTAATACAATGACTAATAATTAAGCCCATAATCTATGTGTATCACTTCGCATACCCCTTCAAACTGAAAAGATTAATCCCCTAACTGCTCCAGGCTATAAGCTACCTGTACCTGCTAAATAAACAATGAGACTTATCTGTGTGCATTGAATAAACAACTCTGATATTCTTATCCCGATTGACAAAATTCGGCGGTAGGGAAACTGAAAATCTGAATTTTTTCAAATCGGGAAATTGGGGCAATTTTTCTCTCCCGATCGGGAAGGCGGGATGAAGGGGTAAAATCAGGAGAATCCCACCTAAATCGGGAAAGTTGGCATGTATGGACCGGAGGTTAACTTTGAGAGATCGAGAACTTCGAGAGATCAGAGTTCGAGCCATCTCGAGTCACCTGTATATGCATATTCTTTTACTTTTGTAGGTAGACCAAAACATAGCGCAGACTTTTGTCCTAAGAAGAAAGTAATAAACTTAATCTCATATTAATTCAGGGATCATTGACATACCGTGTAAACTACGTCAACATCAATGACATAATGGGGTAAAATAACGTAATATTAAATTGAAGGGAACAAACAATTTTTCCTATTATTATCAATGCTGTTTTAGATCAATCTAAAAAAAAAAATAACAAGTACCTGTTCATTTCTTCTGATTTTGGAGACCAGGTCTTCCAACAATCTATTGAAATTCCCATGGGTAACAATTGCACCCATTATTAACAGACCTATTTTTGTATTCATATGAAGCAGAATTTGTGCAAAATCTTATGCGTGAAAAGAAGAAAACACTTGCTGTCACCTTCAACTTGACATTCAGATATATCGACGACGTACTGTCAATTAACAATGGTAATTTCCTTTCTTATGTCAATACAATATATCCTGGTGAGCTTGAGATGAAAGATACCACAAAGTCTGATACATCTGTTTCATATTTAGATATTTTACTTGAAAAAAACCTTTATAATGGTAATCTAACAACCAAGCACTATGCACCTGCATAAGAAGTTTACATATCTCAGTTGATTAGATAAATTATTGACTAACAAGTTGATGAAACAAGAATTTCAGCTGGCTCATTTAAAGTCATCATTTTGTAAGTTCTATGGTCGATTCAATGACTTTGTCAGCAAATACAATTTATCATTGAGTCAAATGCTGACTGCCGTTTTCATACTAATTGTTACTCCATTATTTATAAACTGAATTGACGATGGATTTTTCCATTATTTCCCGATCATGACAAGGAGCATATGGTGGGTGTGACGAGTCGGCAAGAGATGCTCACTCCTCCATGGCACTTGATCCCACCTCTAATGTTTTAGAGGTACATGTTTGCTCTGCTCCTATTTGTATTGTTTTATAGACTTTTGATCTGGAATACTGTTCGTTATCTCCAAATGTTTCATTGCTAAAATCATTTGTAAATCTAACATAAAATCTGATCGTGTGACCATCCCACCAATCCACTCCATTCAGCTTGCCTGAGCAAGTCTAATGAAAAATTGCATCGTGTGACCGCACCTTTACTTTATACCAGCAGTTTAGTTGTATCAGTTTTAGGAAATTAATTCAAAACAAGAGGCTCATGGGCCACATTGCTCACCTGAGGATATTGGCTAGAAAAAAAAAAAGCACAAATCAATTCAGTATTGAAAAGTAGGGCTTGAATTTTAAACTACCTGAAAATGCTTCCATAACAATGACAATGGCTTTACTGTTCTTGATCAGAAGAATTTTTCTTATATATTCCTTTGTATAAATTACATCCCCATTTTGGCCCCTCCCTACCCCTTGAATCATTATTTCAGCAAATGTGAATGTACACTTCTTAATGATGCTTCCATATCAATATAACTAAACATGGCTTTTCCATTCTATAGAAGAGGATTTTTCCTATAAAAAAAATTGTTCATTTATTTTTTCCCCAGCCTTACGCCCCTCTATACTATCTGAGGATGCTTCCACTTAAGTTTTATCTTTCCTGGCCCGTCTCCCGCGTGGTGCAGTTGTTAGAGCATCTGCTCTCTAGTGTCGCAGAGTAAAGAGTTGATCCTTACATAGTGGGTTCGAATCTCACTGTGGGATGTGGAGACCGGTCCTTCAGATGAGAACCGAGGTCCCTTGTCACAGTAGGTGCTGGCACGAAAAAGATCCCTCCCTGCTCAATGGTCCTGAGTGCTGAGTATGGGACAAAATTTGCAGCTCTCCATTGGGAAGTGGTGGCGTCTCTATATGAGTGAAAAATTTCAAGAGGGATGTTAAACAATAAACAATCAATCAACCCCTCCTGGCCCAGTGGTTCTTGAGAAGATTTTTCCTACATATTCCTATGTAAAATTTTGATTTTCCGTTGTGGCCCTGCCCTACTCCCTGGGGCCATGATTTGAAGTAACTTGATGCTACACTACCTGAGGATGCTTCCACCTGAGTTTTATCTTTCCTGGCCCAGTGGTTCTTGAGAAGATTTTTAAAAGAGGTCATTAATTTTTCACTAATTATTAATTATCTCCCATTGGAAGAGGGTGTGGCCCTTCATTTTATTTTAACAAACTTGAATCTCCATCACCCAATGATACTTTATGGTAAGTTTGGTTGAAATTGGACCAGTGGTTCTTGGGAAGAAATCGAAAATGTAAAAAGTTAACAGATGGACAGACACTGGACAAAAATGATAAGAAAAACTCACTTGAGCCTTTGGCTGAGGTGAGCTAAAAATGTATTTTAGTGAGTATCAAGTAAATTTTAAGTAAAAACTATGAATCATCATACATTTATCTCAAATCCTTTACCTCATTACTTTGAAACAACTTCTGGAACTCCTCCTTATTCCCAGGCAGAATTGTTGGAGCACTTTGTCTCTGCAAAATAAATATTAATGTCATGAGAAGGATGATTTGTTCTGCAACATGAAACAAGAGGCTTATATTGTTCAGCTAAGTCACATTGGCCTTGCTCTTCTTTATCACATTTTCACCATTTATATGACATTGTGTATTTCAGAATGTCCTTTGTGTCCCTGTCCTTTATATCCTGTACATATAAATAAGTCCTTGAAATTGCAAAAGTAGGTCATCATGACCTACATTTTTGGTTAAAACACTCTAAGAGCCTAGGATAATCAACTGACGAAGTGTGATGATTCTAAGATCCTTATTATGTAAAATATAAAGATATTACCATGAGATTTCAAAAGTAGGTCACAGTGACCTAACGTACAGGCCACGAGTTTTCCTCATCACACTGTGTGAAATACTATGTGTTACACTGTGTACACGGTGTAGCATGGTGTGTGTGGATTTGAAATACTGTAAAACGAGAAAATTTGGCGCATACATATTTTAGCGCAAACGCAAGTGGGAGTACATTGGTGCAAATAAATTTTAGCGCTTGCACTTGTCAGTAAAATATATAAATGTAATTTTAATCCACACCCATATTTGACTTTTTGGTTAGTCAAGCACAGAAACATATTAGTACTCCCGTATATCAGTAAACATTCGTTACCGTTACCGCGGTACGTGTTGCTATCACATGGACGTGGTACAATGTTAAAATTTATTTTATTTCTATTTTCATTTAAAAGAAATGGAGTATTAACTCATTTAAATCACATTAAAACAATGCATGCATCGACAGAAAATTACTTAGACAAAACGGTAATCCTAATCAGGTATTGTCTGCAAGCTCAATCGCCATGCTTGATTGCATTGTTTACCTCGAGGCGATAGATTGACACGCCGAGAAGCCAAACTTTGAAGGTGCTAATGATAATTATCCGGTAACAACTACCGGGGTAACAATAGTTTAATTAAATTATAATTTGGCAGAACTTTCTGTCTTCCGTACATGTGAAGTGCTAGTGTGTATATAAAATCCAATGACCCTTCGGCATTATGTAATCGCACGTTCCGGTTTACATGTACTTATGTAAAAGCTTTGAACACACACAAAAAATGATATTTAGAAATCCTTTAGCGCACGATAAATTTTAGCGCTCAGGGGCTCTTGCGCCGAAGGCGCTAAAATTAGTAGTGCGCCAAATATTCTCATTTTACAGTATACAGGTAGGCACACCGTGTCTAGAGAAATCTCTGCTAATGTCCTCCGAGTCGCATTGTGTCTAGTAAATTTCCCTCTGTGTCGCACAGCGTGTCCAGAAAATTCTCCTACAAGCTGCACTGTGTGAATAGTATTACAGACAAAATCGTTTCTTTCTGATAAAAATTTAATAATAAATTTTGATGACAATTTATAATTTTGGTTTATGTATATAATAATCGTTTTTATTCTACCAGATATTGGACTCTGAAAAGCACACATGATATTGAGATTAGATATTGGTAAAAATCGTTAAAAGAAAATTGGTTTTCATTTGAATTAAGGACATATGCAAGGTACCTTACCTACTGATAATTTTTCATGATATTCTAAATTTTTACTTATGATATACCATATGATTACGTTTTTTTTAGACAAAAAATCAGCATGTGTTACCACGGTTTTTGAAAAGATATAAAATTATGAAAATTTTTGCATTATTCAAAGAAAAATGTACAAAAATTACCAAACATAAATTCCAGATTTTTTTTCATCAAAATTTGTTTTAGGTGAGGTGTACAAATCCATATATAGACATTAAAAGTATTGCACATAGGTCCTTCATTTAGTGGAACTCTTCAACTCCAGGGAAGAACCCAATAACGTTCGAACTAAGTTGCGTATGACCTTAATTAACTGTGTGTCTAGAAGTTTCTATTTAGTGTAATTATTCATTCACGTTACAAAATCAAAATTACGAATTTAATTTTAAATGAATAACCTAATCTCATGTGCTCATGTAACAAAGGAAGAGGAAATGGCGTTGAGCTGCATTCGTGTCACATACACTGTTTGTACGAGGGTTGTCGTGGACAAGTTGTCTCGTGTGAATAATAATCATCGATGCCTTCTGAAATTTCCACTACTCTTTAGTTCGTATTTTCTGAATAAACTTAGCAAATTTCAAATAAATATATGCATAAATAAACAAATTATGAGATTTTATATTATGTATTGTTTAGCCTTACAGCGCATGACGGATGCCCCTGCGAAATATTATTCATGATTTTAAGAACCTTTATGAGTTGTTCATAATTGTTCATGAATGGTTCTTAAAGGATTCTTAACAGGTTCATAAAAGTAGTTCATGAATAAAATTCATGAAAACATTCATAATTCATAGTTCATGAACAAATGATGAACAAACAAGAATATTCGTAATTTTCAGTTTAAAGAAAAAAACTTAATAGTTCAAGGTAATGAATGTTCATGAATTTTCATGAAGACTAAAAATGTAAAAATTATTGTCACAAACGATTGCCAGAAAACACTCATTACTTCCATAATACAACTTTTGCATGCAGATGCAATTGTTGAACAAGCCCCTGATTTAATTAATAACATGCTTTTGTTTTGATTTTGAAAGTATGGGATCAGAGCCAAGTAGGGGAACATAAGAGGTTAAAATCACTATTTTCTACTCCATGTAATTGATAACTTACATTCTTCAGGATAATAAAACTCTGTTATGAACTGTCTAGAAGGGAGATTGTAATTAAATTATGATCATAATTTAAAGAACACTGCATCAATATTGACAGCATTTTTTTTCTCATATTGAATTACTAATGTTTCTTCATCATTTAAATTGGCCAGCTATATTAATATTGTGCTTTAAATTATGTCATTTTTCACGACACAACTTTGTTCGACCGAATTTTGTCTACTTGTCCCCATACCGAAAAAAGTTATAACTAAGTTATAACTAAAGTATAACTTAGTTATACCTAGCCTGTGAGGTACAAAAAAGTTATAACTAAAATGTAACTTTTTTGGACTTTGTCATTTTCATGTATAACTAAAATGTAACTTTTTGGACTTAGCCATTTTCACGTGTAACTAAAACATAACTTTTCTGGACTTTGTCATTTTCATGTATAACTAAAATGTAACTTTTTGGACTTAGCCATTTTCATGTATAACTAAAACATAACTTTTCTGGACTTTGTCATTTTCATGTATAACTAAAACATAACTTTTCTGAACTTAGCCATTTTCAAGCATTACCAGTATAAATTTACAAGTTTTGGGGGTTATTTAATGGATACTACTTGACACCGACTTTTTTTTTTTTCAAAAATAACATTATAACTAAGTGTTAATTTGAATGAATTTTGATCATGTTCAAAATGGTTTTTTTTCAAACACTGCAGCAGAAAACTTTGTCAATTCCTGAACAATAATATTGTTTACTACCAGTGATCGACTTCTCATTCATAATAAATATGCTGTCCACAGCCATGTCAAGTTCAACAGAAGGGATGTGAAATAAAATCTTGTGAATTACATCTATAAATGAGAAACTCTCTCTCTCTCTCTCTCTCTCTCTGTGGTGTTTGAGGGTGTGTACACAGTACATGCCATGTGTGTGTAATAAATATTATTGTCTATTTAAATTGATATTTGTCATGTAAGTTTCAACTAAAGTTGAGAATAATTAATTTCTCTCTCTCTTTCTCTCTCTTTCTCTCTCCTTCTCTCTCTCTCTCTCTTAGAAAATACGTATTTATTGAGACCCTGATGAGACATAATATTTGTCTTGTAAATTATAATAATGCACTTACATCTGAAGTTGGGAATGAATATATTTCATAATTCTGGGGAAATATAAATGTACTGCAAGAGATATAAACAGTATGAAATGTAATCTCATGAAGTCATGTGAATTTTGCACGGATTCTTCGTGTGCAAAACTGTGTAAATTTCCCTATTGTTTTCTGTGAGACAGGTGTTTGTACTAGGTGACCTTTGTGGCCAACACATCGTAAATATTTCAGCTTGGGTATTACACAATCTCTGAATGGTACAATTCTACACAGGTTGTTTGAAATCTGAAGAAAATCAGTCGTAATATGGGTGGCTAAAAAGATAAACAACAGCATAGAGTATGTGCATGTTCATGTTGAACAGGTATTACGATGTTGTGAATAAAGACTGCCAGTTATATTAAGATTTAAGCAGATGACTAGTACATGTAGATTTTATTGTTTGCATAATTAAATAACCCAGTTATAATAGTTATTTTCACAAATAAACAAATATTAAATTCAAAATGGCGGCAACAAAAAATATGGCGGCCTCCGATGTCCGTTTTGTTGATTATACTAAGATAAATTCAAAATTTTAACACCAACTGGTATTTATATTTTTAATTTAAGTTTAAAATTACACAATTAGGTTTATTTGCATTTAAAATAAATTAATTATGAATTATTTATTTATTTTTTTCGATCACGTGACGTTTTTGAGTTCTATGATTGGTCAATAACAGAGCGCGGATTTTTCCATGGACGATTTGAATGTTTGGATGTTGAAAGTGTTGTCAGAAAAAAAGGAGATAAAACCAGTTGGTAAGGCGATATTTATGCTAACATTTTATTGATTTTGGTAAAGTATACTTAGTACCTCTGGAATAACATTCCAAAAAGAAGAAATATTGGGAATGAACAAAATTCTAGGCGTGTGAATCTTAGATTTCTTGTTTGTTTTGATTGGTATGTCGAATGACAAAGACTGAAGTAAACAAATTGAAAGTATTTGAAACGCATAATATTTTTCAGCATTTAGTATATTAATCAAATATGTTGTTCTTTGTCATATTTATTCCCACAATTGTTTATAGATTCCCTGAACTGTTAAAATATTGTGAAGCCTTATACGCATCAGCATGATCATAACATGATCTAGCTGCAACGTTAATTAATGCAATGAAATGAGTAATTTAACATTAATTTTCTTTTTTTTTTTATAAAGCAGAATA